TTTATGACACTGGTTAACAACTCCAAGGTGAGATGATTTTAATGTGCAGGAGCGTGTCTGGGTCCTTGGCCCATGTGGGGGGCAGCACTAAACACAGGGAAGGAAGACTGCATGGGAGAGGTCCAGTCTGACCTGAGCTGCTGGTGGGTGGGCCTCGCCCGGAGGCCCTGGGGGAGGGGAGGAGTGGGCGCTGTGAGCGGAGGGGTGGTGGGAGTGGAGGGGTGACTGCAGGCTGGGCGGTCAGAGGGTGAGTCTCGTCTGTGGAGATGACTCGTAGCTCCATCCCAGGCTGAGGAGTGGGCAGGGTGCTCGGCAGGGGGAGGCCAGGGAGGGAAGCTGGGCCCAGGGCCTGGGAGAGGACTCGGACGGGGATCTGAGTCAAGTAGGGCCTTGTTAGGGTGGGAGTCTGGACTGACCTCATGGGCTGGGACAGAGGAATTGGACGGGGATCTGAGTCAGGTGGGGTCTCGTTAGGGTGGGAGTCTGGACTGACCTCATGGGCTGGGGCAAAGGACTCGGACGGGGTTCTGAGTCAGGTGGGGTCTCATTAGGGTGGGAGTTTGGACTGACCTCATGGGCTGGGGCAGAGGACTCGGATGGGGGTCTCAGGCAGGTGGGGGCCTTGTTAGGGTGGGAGTCTGGACCGACCTCATGGGCTGGGACAGACGACTTGGATGGGGGTCTGAGCCAGGCGGGGCCTTGTTAGGGTGGGAGTCTGGACTGACCCCATGCACACTGGGACACTGTGGCAGAGGTTCAGCCAGGGCCAGTGACCTGAATCTGAAACGAGTGTTCCTAAGACTAGGAGGTGCGGTCCCCACATCCATGCAGGGGCCCTGTCCAGGCGTGTGCTGGGACAGACCGTGGGGTGGTTTGTGAGCAGGGGCGCCGCTCAGCAGGTGTGCAGCCCAGCGGGAGGCTGGGACTCTGAGTGAGAGGGCGTCCTTAGCACACTAAACTCGGGGTTCCCTGGCTGCCTCTCTGCCTTCACTGACTTGGGGACACTGGCCGACATGTCCCAGCTCCCCCGTCCACCACGAGCCATCTTGCAGGCCGGCTCACGTTCTCTGGCTGTCTTTCTTAAAGGGCACGGGTTATGCCACCCCCTCTGACCGCTGGGCGGATGGTTGTTCTTTAACTGAATTGTGCTTCCGCATGTTCACTCCCGCGCGTAACTGCCGCCGGACCGCCGTGTAGGACAGCCCTAGCATTCCAGACCCTCGTCTGTACCCTCTCCGAGTTGCTAGCACGCCCTTCCCAGTGACCACTGTCCTCACCTCCGCCACCAGGGCTCCCTTCGCCTGTTCTCGAGCCTCACGTGAGTGCAATCCTGTGATAGACAGTCTTGGTGTCTGCCTTGGTTTGCCAGACACTGAGATTCAGCCAAGGTGTGGATAGCGGTGGTTCCCTCATCGTTGCTGTGTAGGGTTCCATTGTGAGGATCTCCCCGTTTATTCATTCTCCTGTTGGTGGGCATTTATGTGGTTTCCAGGTTTCGGCTCTTCTCAATACCGCTACCAAGATTGCCCTAGTACATGTCTTTTGGTAAACAAGCGCTTGTTTGTGTTGGGTACATACCCAGGAGTAGAGTTCCAGGATCTATAGAGTGTACAGATATTTCGGTATTGGCTGCTAACTGAAAGGTTGGCGGTTCAAATCCACCAGGTGCTTCTTGGAAACCCTGTGGGGCAGTTCTACTCTCTCCTATAGGGTCACTATGAGTCGGAATTGACTTGACGGCAATGGATTTGGTTTGGTTTGGTTTGGGCAGACATAGTTTTCATTGTAAATGATCACATTATTGGCTAAGGAGTCATTTTCCCAGGGCCCTGACCAGTCCTGGGTAAACTGAAAAAATCCAGCTTCCAGAAGCCTCAGGGCTGAATCAGCCAGAGGTGGGACTTAGACCAGGATCTCACGTGGCTTCTCTTCCTCCAGGCACGAGTCTGCTGCAGGAGGTGGTCTACCTGGTGAGCCAGGGGGCTGACCCCGACGAGATCGGCCTGATGAACATTGATGAGCAGCTCCCGGTCCTGGAATACCCTCAGCCAGGCCTGGACATCATCAAGGTACTCTGGGCCACAGCCAGCCCCTCAGACCCCTTTGGGGCATTTCTGCAGTTACTTTCCTGATGAGCCGCACGGCTGCTTCTGAGGGGACTCAGGAGATTTAGGGGAGCCCTGTGGGGGCGAGCAGAGAGTTGCCATATACCCCAAATCCCCAGGAGAGGGAAGCCACCAGAGCTGAGGGGTGACAGTGGCCCCGGGAGGC